GGTATTTCCAATGCTGTTCCCATTATTCACAATATGGTTAGGATAAAACCCAGCCATGATGCATGCGTTCACCACATTTCAATTGCTGGAATTTTCGTTCAATTCACGCATTGATTGCGAAATCATACCAGATTTGCATATGTAGTCGAAGATTAAACATCGAATGCCTTCGGCTTTTAACATGTTACCTTGTGAAATGTAATTCTCGACACAAAATTTTCGTTGATGTTCCCGTAATTGTTTCGACCAATTTTGAATTATATTGAAATACAGTTGATGGTCGCTATATTTATTTTCTGCGAATCGATTTTTTGTTTCATTGATTTTTTCAGTCACTTCCTGTGTATTTTCAAATGAAAGTACGAATAAATCTTTCACCGACAGTGCACTGGAAATCATAACAATGGGATCCAAACATCGCAAAATAATTGCGTAGAAGAGTGTCTTACTCAATTGACAATCGATTGGCATGTTTACCAAATGTTTACCGTGTTTACCCAAATTTGTAATATTTTCGCTTGCAACGTAGACGACATCATCTATTGTAAGTGCTGTTTCTGCAATATTTGTAGATAATATTATTTTTCGAACGCCATTTTCCATGCGATCAAAGACATGAGCATGACCCTCATTGTTTTCATCATTTAGTTCGCTATGCAGCGCAAAAATCTTATAACCCCAATCCTGTAATCCATGTACGCTTACTAACTTTTCATGTTGTTCGCATATATCGTCGTAGCTGGGCAAAAATACAAGAATAGCGCCATTTTTTGACGTATTTTCATGGATATGATCAATGACATGAAAAAGTAAGTTGTGATCAATAATATTTTGTGTGCCTTGTGTTGATCGATACGCTCTTCCAATTTCCACGTAATTTTTCCATGTTGTGGTGGATGTCACACGTTCATAACACATTAAGAGCTCACAACCCTCACAACATTCCTCTTGTTTATTTTCTTTCGCATAATCAATTGCGCTTTTACCAAATGGATCTTTAAAGGTCGCACTTTCACCAAAAGCCAAAAGCTTTAACATCATATTCAGTGAACCATTTTCCGCAGCAATTCCCAACACGGTGCGTTGCTTTGTACGATGAACATAATTGGCCGGCATGTAGTCGCCTTCAATGAGAGAAAAAACGTTTTCAAATGATTCACAATCTTTTCGCAAAATATAAGAATCCAGGCGACTGTCGCACATTAAGCGATATGATCGCGGCATGTCTTCTATAGAATGAAATAATAAACAATAAATTAATATGTTACGTAAAGATGCGTTTTTCTAAGCAACTAGAAAATAATGTGTTTACGGTTTTGACAGATTATTAATGTCGACGTATACGTAACCACAGCTGTCATAATATATACGTAACTTCGTATTTTCACATTGTGGAGAATTTTTTCTGTTTCATTAATAATGAATCATTATTTTCTGTAATAAATAGAAATTTATTTATTTATAATTCTAATAGAATGAATTTGAAAAAATAAATAGAATCATTTATATGAAATAAAAATAATTCTAATTTGAAATAATACGATTTTGTTAGGTTCCCATAGAATGGTGTGAGTATTTATAATTTAGTTGTATTATTTTATATGCTTTATGTGTGTGTACAATGATTTTTAATTGATTTAATTTCAATTTGATTTACTTGAATGATTTTTAATACAATTTTTGTGTTGAAACTATAACATTCAAATACATTCCAAATTATTGAAATAAATTTGATTTTTGCATCTAATTCACACTAAAATCAGATGGCGCTCATTAGCGAGATTCGCAAAAAAAAGTCTCCAATCTCATATACGTCAACCCCCCTTGGGGTAAGTAGTTGAAATAAATATAGATGTATGGATCCTTCTTGGATTCGATATAACTTGGTAACTCTCTTTTTTTTGCTCCTTCTACCATCGTCGATCTCGACATTTTTTTTGCCGTGCAATATTTTTGCCAGCATATTTCATTGTGAGCGAAATATTTGTCGCTCGTGTTTTGGATGGTGGCTGTTTGCTGTAAAACAACGACATTGAAGATGACGAAGAAAACGACGCCAAACACAACGAATATTATATTTATTAGATGGATTTAGGGTGTATCCTAATCGCATTAATGTGGTGCGAATTTATTATGTGTTTCACGTATGAAATTCATGCAATGTTCCAAACACCATATCAACCAGCATTTATGCTGTTTGTCTCTTCAAACCCGGTGCGCTATCTCCATATGATATATGTTTTTCGCTTTGCGCGTCCTCTCTCACTCTATCTCGAATTTGTGCTCGGAATGTTTTTTCTTCTCTCTCGATGCTTTTTTTTTCTCTTCTTCGCTTCTCGTTTGCTCTTTGACGCTTAATCTTGGCTATTTGTTTTAATATGTTTACGTTTGATGTTGAACATGGAACAGACTTGTTTATATTTTCGTTCGTGCATCAACTCGAATTACATGTTATTTGCTATATATGACGAGAATGTGCCTGCATGCGAACGTACAAGAGAAAAAGTCGAAAAAGAGTATCGGATAAAAAATTGCGACTTTTGCAAACGATTTCAAAGACTTTGTGATGTGATGTTATGTTTCAAGCATATTTTCGATATATATTTTTTGATATATTTCGGATGTATTGAAGCCATCAAGTGAATACGAATCTGCCGTCGGGCTCTGATGCCAAAAATTACATCGCACACACTCAAGTTTGGATATGTTTTGGCTTCATCTTTCCGTGTTGTTTCAAATATGAATCAAATTCTCAATTGATGAATTTCAAATGTAAACTTTTTTTTATTTCGCATGTTTTTGATATATTCGCTTCGCAGAAACAAATTGAAACATCAAGCAAATGAAAATTACTTTTACAAGTCAATTTTTTCTAAACTTACCCACCGTTGTTGGTTCTTAATTTGAAATGGAATGCGTAGGTGTGCTGGATATATCATTTTTATTTGGAACATTCCACATTAACAAATTGCCCCCCGGCGTTACGGCAGAGTAATTAAAATACTTACTAAATAAATAAAAAGAAACGTAAATGGGGTTGGTTTCTTCATAAAAAAATCGAAATGAAAAGAACATTTGCCTATTTATATGTAGCATGTTTGAAATGAAATAGAGAGTTTTGAGAGGAACGTCATCACATTACGAGTTAACTTAATTGTAACATTTATGTTATGGGAATTCAACGTCGAGAAGTGAATAGCAGCAACAAACTGGTTGTTGGTATTTTACACTGATTTTTTTTTGCTTAAGAAAAAACGAACGTTTTTTATTCATTTATATTTTTTGTATATCTCAATTTCAAATCACTTTTTTCGGATCAGAAAAATCACTTTTTTCGGATCACTTTTTTCGTATATCATATGTAAAATAACGGCTTACTTAATTCTTAAGACATGTAAGAAACAATGAAATAGACAACTACCTTTTTTTTTCTCTACCTTATTCCATTTAGTTTATCTCAAGTATATTTTTCCAATGAATACAAGGGATGCGTTCCTAGAGATTTTTTTATTATTTCAAGTCTCCGAGATTAAGTGAAAGAAACCTTCAATTTGGTTGTTTATACAGGAGAATACACTTGGCATTGAATACATGGCAGTTTGATGAAAATATAGAAGTTCTCCTTATCTTCGAACGTAAGTACCATAGAATTCCCTTGATAAGAACGCATCTTTTGAACTCGAAGCAATTTTTTTTGAAGAAAAAACACAGGAAATGGCTTAATAGACCAAACACATTTTTACAAACAATAATTTACTTTGAACATAGTCATTTCAAAGAGTCATTTTTATCTCTTTTTTTCTTTTTTGTGATTTTTCAAATAAAATCAAAGTATGTTCAAAACGCCCAAAAATATAGAGAAAAAATTTATGGACCTTTCGTCATACAATTAATGTTTTTCTCGAAATTCATTGACAAAATTGAAAAATTTCTCAAAAATATCAACTAGTTGAAAAAAAACGCCATAGCTCGTGCAGACATTTTGATTGCGATATTTAAATTCTTGTAAAAAATAAATTTTAAAAAAAAAAAACAGTCTCTTTTTCAAAAAGACTTTTTGTGTTCATTTCTTAATTTGTTCGTTGTGTTTGTTTTGTTCAAAAATTCTACAAAAATCATAAAAAGTCATGAATTATTTGCCAAACAAGTGGCATTTTTTAGAAACCATGAAAGAAAAAATATTCAGGTTTCGTAGAAAAAAAGATCAAAATGATTGAAATACAATGGAAAGATTGCTATTTTTGAGCTTATGACACCTGCTTGGTAACTTAAGAGGTATGAAAGTAACGACTTATTTCACCGAAGTTCCCAAACTCTCAATTGCCTATTTAAAAAATAAATAAATTTTCAACGCTTCCTGGAAATATACCATGTTCGAAAAAAGTGTTGAAAAGTGCCATCGATTTTTATCCTAACTTCTCTGATGAAATGGGTATAATGCGATTTCGGGAAATGTGTATAATGGTAGTATTTAAAATGAATGAAGTCGATGCGAAAAAAGGTCTAACAATAACCAAATGAGTACCAACAAGTACAACGAAAGGGAAAAAACTTCAAAGAAAATAATGGACCAATTTGTAGGCAGAGAACCATGTATTTACGGGTGAGCGAGAGAATTAAATCAATGACAAAGAGCTGGAATGCGCTGTACGTGCATGACCAATTGTGAACAAAAAGTCACTTCAATCACACTTGAAAGAGAAAAAAAAATGTGTGCCTATCGGAAAATAGATATATAGGATGTGCGGTCATTCGATCCAGAGCGAGTTGTGTGTCCCAGTACCTGATGCTCCGGGATTCGACCCATAATCAAAGAAAAATGCAACGCACTTTTTCCACACTTTGTTTCAACTTATTTTTCTTTATCATGTTCTACTGGCACACATTTCCATGTTATTATTATCCTCCGTTGTTTACCATGTTCAATAGTAACGAGCGTCACAACAGCATGACAAAAAAAGCGCCATTCTTCCAGGCGACTAAATAATTGTACGATTTTCAAAACAACAGCGGAACTGTGGAATGTTCGTCGGAAATCTGATTCATGTTTTTCCTTTCGATGTTTGGTCGTCGTTGGTGTTTTTTCCGCACAAAGTGGCTGTGTGAATAAAAGAAGAGAAAGAAAAAGTCGGTTGGAGCGAAAAAAAACTTGCGACGGTAATGCAAACGACCGAACTGAGAGTGGAAATGAGTAAAAAAGCAAAGCAAGAAGAACGACTAAAAAACGACACAATCGTTAGGGAAAAGGTCGAATCGTTACCTCTTCGGTGAGGAAATGTTATATAAAACCGGTTAAAAACAAAACGATCTCAGGCCATGTTATTTATGCGGCCGGAATGTGTTCTGCCCGTAAGAGTGTGTATGTATGTGTGCTCACCATTCAAAGTCATTTCCTCGTAATGTTTGGGCTTTAAAAATTTGTTTGCATAAATTAATTGGAGGTCGAGCGTCGGAGATAGCATTTATTTTGGTTTGAAAGACTGTATGCGCCAAGATGAGATGAAAAGTGGATTGTTTATGAGTGTAGAAATTTGTTTGAAATGACTTTGCTTTTAGTAACGATTACGAGAAACTTCGGTGATTCGTCGACAAATGTTTTAATGGTTTAATGCGCACATACACCACCAAGACACACACACACATGTATGGACCAAATCTAAAGCGAATGTAAACAATGCATATTGTGACGCGCATCCGGTGTGGACATGAATTTTGTGCTGGAAATGACGATGGTGGTGGGGGAGGGTGCAGAGAAAGACAAATGCAAATTTATGCACGGAAAAGAAAAGTGTTAAATGTAATGCGACATTATTTTCATTTTTTTTTATTCCTTCTTTATTTCTCACACTTTTCTCTCGTTGTCACCCCGGTTTTTTTTTTCGTTCGTTTGTTTGCTCGATGTTCGACTGGTCGTTTGTTTTCGTAGCCGTTATGCAAATGCACTTAACGGGTTGAAGACGGGAACAAAAACCGTCGGGGAAAACAAACATCGGTGGTGGTAGCACACATAACGGTATACCAAGGAAATGACTATGATTATGCGATTTCACCGGAAAAAAAGAGAGAAAAGAAGAAAAACAATCCATTCGCCGAAAATATACACACCAAGAATGAATTGCAGCTTGGAAGCAAGAGAGAAGAGGGAAAAAAGCACACTGGCAGCGAGAAACACATCGTCATCGTGTAATGGTTTTTATTGTTCCATGCAAATTAGCGTACACGACACAGTCGTTCAATTGTGGTGTAAAAATATGCAAAAGACTTTTATGCTACGTGGTATAGTGTGCGGCTGCAGTGCATATTGTGATAGAAAAATGAACAAACTGGGAACCGAACGAAAAAAATTGAAAAGTGAGACTTAGAGAGATAAAAAGAGCGTGAAAGAGAGAATAGAGAAAAAAGTGTGAAAAAAGTTTGAATTTTTGGCATTTGCATCGAGAATTCAGGCGAGCGAGTGAGAAAAATAGAGAGAACAAAGTGATTTCATTTGACCAAGCGACCAC